CAGTGAAGAAGATGAGAGAGGAGAGAAGAGTGGTAATGATTGAGGGGGGGGGGGGGGGGGATAAATGGAGGGAGAGATGTGCTGACAGGACTGGCAGACTTGACTGAGAAGAGGGAAGGACACCGGTGTCATCCCATCTGTTTGTATTAATTTATTTTTAAATTGTATTCCTTTTTTTTTTCTTATTTGTGACACTTGGCATGAACTCCTCCCCCGTCATGAAGCAGAGCAGATCCACGTTTTCCCTTTCGTGATTTAAAAAAAAAAAAAAGAAGCTTTCCGTCTGTCCCTCATTCATGCACGGATTGCATCAGCACCAACGTGCCCCTGATGTTGGAGCGGAGTCAGTTGGCCGGAGAACGCTCTAGAAGCATCGTTCTTTAAATTATTCACTTATCCTCCTGTAGGCTGCATCACAATGCTGCAAACGTGCGCGGTGACTTGAGTGTGCATTGAGAGAAGAACGTCGTGCTAGACCTGCTTGTGTGTCTGTGTGTGCAGTGATGTCTTCACAGTGGAAGTGGAGCTGTGTGCACTTAGAGAGCAGCATAAACGGCGTGTGTGTCTAATGTGCTGCACTTACTGAAGGCGGGTATGCCAGGGCGGCGTAATGCCTTCTTTCAGTCAGGACCCCAGCATACGCGCTCACTCAGAAACATGACACTGTTTACCAAACAGGAAGGTTATTATTTCTTTACCAGAGGGGGTCTTTGGGCACATCAAATGTGTATTTCTTCTTCGACAAATACCTGAAATCTCTTTCACCCCTCTGACTCTGTTAAATATTAACACATACTTTATTATTTATCACGTTTTTTTTACTCTAAACTCGAGCGCATACGAGAATTTTATCTCACTAAATAAGGTAAGTGTAAAAGAAGAATCCATCCATCCGTTATCTTTACCCGCGTCTTCCTTTTCGGGTCGCGGGGGTCACTGGTGCCCATGTCCACCAGTCCCTGTGCAAGGTGGGGTACACTCTGGACAGGTCTCCAGTCCATCACAGGGACACTTGGAGACAAACGAGAAACATTCACTCTCACTCAGAACTAGAGACAATTTAGAGTTACCAATCAGCCTAACATGCATGTTTTTGGTCTGTGGGAGGAAACTGGAGTACCCAGAGAAAACACATACATGCACGGAGAGAACATGCAAACTCCATCCAGAAATACCCCGGGCTGGGATTTGGTCCAGCGATCTTCTCACTGAGAGGCAACAGCTCTACCAACTGATCCACCGTGCCGCCTAAAAGAAGAATGCTTTCGTAAGGGGCCGAGATGGGGTGGAGTCGACAGGGGACCAGAAAGTCGCGTTTTGACTACCAGCCATTCCCACGTCGTGGTGACCCTGAGCAAGACACCCAATCCCCAATTACTCCCCGAACGCTTAAATAGCTGCCCACTGCTCCACCTGGGTGTATCTCAGGTGTGATGGATGAATTCAAATTCAGAAATACTTTATTAATCCCAAAGGGAAATTAAGTGTTATCGTAGCTCATCATCCTGGTTTCTTTCAAGAGTTGTTATAGATGCTCAAAGCTGTGGGCAGGAAGGATCTCCTGCAGCGAATCCTAAAAATCTGGCCACAGATACCGATCCGTCCACCTGGATCCAACTTGCTGTCAGATCCGGCGGGCCTCTCTGTCCTCCTGGGCAGCAGGACTGCCCGAATGCCAGGCAAAACTTCACCCTGTGCGATGGTCACTCCTCCCAGCAGTTTGCCGAGCTCCTCGTCACCCCAGACAGACAGCTGAAGGTGCCGGGGTATGACCCAGGTCCTCCCATTGTCACGAGTCGAGTTAGCTCCAGGATCTCAGCGGTCAGGTACTCGAGCACCGCCGCCAGGTTGACGTCTACAGTGTCTCCATTTCAACTCATTTGGGATTTGGGACTGTGGTTGAAGTATTTGAGCTTTTGAGATGTTAATCAGCTGCTCCTGGTTGTTAAAAAACACCTTGTTGTCACGGTTACACATCATAACAAATGCCCAAAAGTAACAAGCTTTTAGTAATAATCCATCCAGCTGCACAGCATTTGATACCAGAGTAAATAATCTGGAAAAAGCGATTTACTTCAAGAAAAAGTAGGAATTACAGTTTTCAAAAGCAATAACTCAGAATGAAAGTAACAGCTACTCCAACATGCAGCCACACCGAGCGGCGCAATTCTAGAATGAAACGCAGTGAACTAATTTCACCATTGTATGAGAACATTCAATGATGACAACACATAGCAGTTTACTTTACTTTACTAAATATAAACTCTGTTATTTTTTTTTATGAGAAATCTTTAAATTAAAATGACTGAAGAAAAACGAAATCATTATTTGGTGTGACTACTAGACACAGGCCAGAAGATGTGTTACGTTGACAGTATAACCCTGAGTAAGAATGCCATGGTCTCCATGAATTCCAGTATTAAAACAAACATTTTAAAACTTAATCCATTTTTACTACTGACAACTCAGAGCAGTAGGTCCAGTCACAAAAGGGAGAGTAAAAAGCAACGTCTCCATTATCTCCTTTCTAGTCATTTTAAACCATAGTAATGGTGTGACAAAAAACTTTTGTGGTTTCATCACCAGTTTCTTTACACCGTGTTATACATTAAAACTCCTCGTAACTAGTCAGGCCTAGGGCGGCTGTGGCAGAGTGGTTAGAGCAGTCGTCCTCCAATGCAAGAGTTGGGGGTTCGAATCCACCAGCAGTCACATGCCGAAGTGTCCCTGGGCAAGACACTGACTGAACCCCTCGTTGCCTCTGATGTGTGTCCCATCAGTGTATGAAAGTGATAAAGCTCTGATTAGTCTCTTTAGAATGATTTGTTCAATTAGCTTTGTAGAGATCTAGTAGAGTGCTGTATGAATGGGTAAATGAGATTGTGTTGTAAAGAGCTTTGAGTATCTCGAGAAGATAGAAAGGCGCTATACAAGTACAGTCCATTTGCCTAGTGATCACATTTTGCATTCAAAACCACCTCAGTTCTTATAAGTGTACAAATCAGGGATTTTGTAGGCTTCTGTTCAGGTGTCTTGGTAACCAGTGATGATGATCAATGATGGTCATTGGCTGAAACAGAAGCAGGTTTGATGTTATGGGTTTGGTTGGTAGTTTCACGTTACATCACACCTGTGAGGTCCCAGGCAAAGATTTCAGTGCAAACTGCTTTTTTAACTAGTGCTATTCAAATGATTACAAAAAAAACCCCCTAAAAACATGGCAATGTTGAGGACTGTAGGTTCACTGGTCAGCATAGGAAATGTTGTAAAAAAACTAGTGAAAGATGCGTTGTACCTTTAAAATCCGATGTCCATCGTCTTTTAAGAAGTAAGAGATGCCTGTGAAACTCCTTCACATCCAGATAAGTGTGGCCCAAAGTGTCTTTATGGAGCAATTGAAGTAAAAAATGTCATGAATGTACAGGAAAATGCGGAGGCAGAAGGACTCATCGTTGCTTTTTTAATTAAGGTGTAAAATAAGTGTGAACTTGACTGAGGTAGACGAGACTAAAGGGAAAAAAAACACAAGAAAACCTATAATATCACAAATATATGATTAAAAACGCTGTACCTCCAGTATGGAAACGAAGCCAAGTAACAGAATATCCTTCAAAGAAATACTCAGGAAAAACTGGAGTAATGAATGAAAAATTGAAATAGGTTGTTTGAGGAGCTGAACCTCTCAGATGATGCTAACGTTATTTAGGTTGAACAACGGACAATCGTTCAGTCAGAATGTCTACCAATGTAACGAAAACCTGCTCGTCAGAGCGTGCAATGTTTAGTCCCATTACTGCTGTAGAGAGACCTAAAAAAATATAAGTATTGTTTCTACTTCTATCCAAATTACAAGTGTCCAAACTGATTGTCCAAATAAACCTCCCAGCTGTCGATCTTTCGAGTCCTTGGATATAAAATAATGAGAGCCCTGATCTCAACACTACTCAGTGTGTCTGGGGTTACACGAAGACACGAGCGAGAAACTTCCACAGAAGAATAATTTAAGATCCTAAAAACATGTTTCACAGCTTCTTTTCGACACCTGCCTCCAGCTTTTGTACAGTACTGTAAAGAATATCACCGCTCATCAAGAGAAAAACGTCTACAAATGTTGGAGAAAAATATTCTCACTTAATATTTAAATAAAAAGAACCACACTTGATGGCAGGAGAACATTTTTGACCAGTGTTTTACTTTCAAGGACACATTCAAGACAGATTACATACATAGGTGGGGATGAACAATATTATCGGCCGATATTAGCGATAAAGTTCAAAAGAACTTACCGATATAAAAGGCAGATGGCCGCTTGTCCTGAGCCTGCTCTGCTGGAGGTTTCTTCCTGTTAAAAGGGAGTTTTTCCTTTCCACTGTTGCCACTGTGCTTGCTCAGCATGGGAGACTGCAACGAAGCCAAGATTCAACTTGTCTGCTGGATTCCTTAGATGGAGAACTTTACTAATTGGCTTTTATGTGAATGTTCCTGTAAAGTGCCCTGAGACAACTCTGTTGTGATTTGGCGCTACATAAATAAACTGAATTGAATAAATTTGACATTAAACATAATCCAAGTTGAAGTGTTGCATCATTTTCAGCCCCTTTTTGGCATCTGCATTTGGTAGCAGGACAAACTGACAAAGACCATGCAGAATAATGTTGTATTTTAATTCCACAGCAGATACAGCTGTGTAGTCTCTGTAAGTAGGTCTAGGAAAACAACTATCAGTATTGGTATCGGTTATCAGCCAAACAAGTTTTAGCATATTGGATATCGTCCAAAAATCCAATATCATGCATCCCTACATACATAAAGCATTGAACATGTTCGAATGAGCGTGGAGCAGTTTGCTGCAGACTCTTGTACAGCAAGAGGGAAAGATGTTCTCAGCCATAATGTAATAAAAATATTCATGCCAAAACTTCTCTAACAGAGTGACTGCTGAAGCCCACGTGCCGTCAGAACCGTCCTAACCTCCGTTTCCTCTTTATGCGCCTCAACAGCAACGGCCGGTCCAGCAGTCTCTGGCCTCCTCTCTGTGCAGAGAGTCCCACTGGAAGTGCCTCCTCCTGACCCTCCTCATGTACGGCTGCTTCGCCACGCTGGCTTGGTGCGCTCTCTGCCGCGTGCCTGTTCTCGGCTCCTCCTCCATAACCCTCGGCGCCGACGACGACGCTGCGGCGGCGGCCTATTACAATGACATCCTGCACCTGGAGAGCCCGTGCTCCAGCGGTTACGTCTACATCCCCCTGGCTTTCCTGGCGATGCTGTACGTGGTGTACCTGGTGGAGTGTTGGCACTGCTTCTCCAAGACGGCCACGCTGGCTCACGCCGAGTTCCAGGTATGTCGGAAATGATGGCGCAGAAACGATCCACAAAATAAATCTGAATTCAGTGGAGTTTACTAACGTTTGATAGTCCACAAGCATTTTGGTCTCAGTTCAGCTCTATTAAGAATTCTAGGAGCATTTAAAAGTCTCTTATTGTATTTTTCTGCTTCTGCCACAAAAACAGCAATCATGACGATATAAAGAGACACTGGCAGAGCCTGTTTTGCTAACTTGCTAACTCTAACTAAATGCTAACTCGTTCGTCAGGAGGTGTACGAGCGAGTGCAGAGACTCCAGCAGGCCACTCCCTGTATTTGGTGGAAGGCCATCAGTTATCACTACGTGAGGAGGACCAGACAAGTGACGAGATATCGCAACGGAGACGCGTACACGACCACACAGGTGGCGCACGCACTTCCTACTTTCACTTTAGCTATTTTTGCTGCACGATGAAACTTCAGCTGCAGTTCTGGTTATGTAATCTTTTCTAATAACAGTAGCGACTTTCTTTCTCGTTCATTTGTCTTTGCCGGTGCTCCCCTCAGGTCTACCACGAGCGGGTGAACACTCACGCCTCCAGCTCGGAGTTCGACTACGCTCGCTACGGCGTCAAAGACGTGTCAAAACAGCTGCTGGACCTGGAGCGGCACCCCGCCGTCCGCCTTCGTTTCACAAAGTGTTTCAGGTACGTTCAACAGTCGGCTCTAGAACAGGTTGACTTGGAGGTGAACTGGATCCTAAAGGTGTTCTTTTCTTCGTGTTGTGACAGACTTTCTCCTTCTTTGTGTATTTTAGCTTCTCCAGCGCGCGTGCTGAAGCAGCCTACCTCACCCAGGTAAGACGGAGCGCTGATGCATATTTCCTTCTGTTAGTAATAGAGATCAACCATAATAAAAGCTAGAGAAATTACATTTCCTGTGAAAATACAGTGTGAATCCTTATTGCTGCAGAACTTTGCTGAAAAACAGCTGAAACTAGCTAAAAAAAAAAAATCTGCTGAAATGAAGCTGAATTGGAAGTACAAGCCTAAGTTAGCAGAAGAAAGCAGATAGAACGCACATTTGCTGAATTTGGTTTAAATGAGCAGAAATTAGAATGGAAAATGTAAATTTAGCTTAAAAAAGTTGAAATTAACAAAAAAAATAGCTGAAGATTAGCTGAAAAGGCAGAAAGAAGCTTACATTACCTGGAGAGTGGAGAGAGGACATTGTTCCTAATTGGGATTAAAGAAGCAGAGATGAGCACAAAAAAGTGGAAATTATATGAAAAAAGCAGAAATTTGCACACGCACAACACCACAGCTGAATAGTAGCTAAAGATGCAGAAAGAAGCTAAAATTACAAGAAGGAAGTTGAGAAAGCACATTTGTGCAGAATTAGGCTGAAAAAAGTTAAATGAATGCAAAACGTGGATTTAGGTGAAAATGCTTAAATTAGCATAAAATCAGCTACATAGAAGCTGAAGTAACAGAAAAAGCTGAAACTTGCAGCAATAAGCTGAAAGTAGCATAACAAGCTGAAATTAGTAGAAAGACGTTAGAAGAAGCACAAAAATGTTGTAGTTAGCAGAAAGAAGCTGAAAGGAGCACAAAACAGCTGAAAGTAGCTAAAAAAAAGTTTGAATTTGCAGAAAGAAGCTGAAGCAGAACAAAAAGTGAAAGGAGCAGTAAAAGGTTGTAAACAGAGCTAAAGATATGAAGGATGTAAAATGAGATCAGTTCATTTTCTATGAGACAAAAAATGACAGAAAAGTCTCAACTATCTCAAAAAGCACCAATGCCAAAAGTCAAAGCAGGATTGTCCTGAACGAGCTGAATGTTTTGATTTATGATTCGTTGAAATGACACGAAAACTTTGGAACGAGAAGCTGAAAAAACGCGCAGAAGAAAACCGGATCCCAGCAGAGTGAATGCTTCATAAACATTCACGCATTATTACAAACCCCTTTGTATCAGTTTGTTTTCTTCCACTCAGCATTAACTTATTAAAATGAAAATAAAGGTGAGGCGCAACGTTCATAGCAAAGTTTTAAACAAAGATTAGTTTTTGTTACAAAGTGACATCAGTCATCAAACCTTGTAAATCTGAGTGAACTCCAACTGTTCAGAGTTGGTGAGGACGACGCCGATCTACCGTCACACGGGTCTGTTACAGTAACTCGCACCACTTTTATGTGCTAGGATTGATGAGCTTTGGCGGCCATCTTGACTCAAGTTGAGTTCAAAATTTAATTCCATCCAATAATTACTTTCATTAAAGCGTGTCCATCAGTTCATGGGACAGTTTTTGCTAACAGGTAAACAAACACGCAGGTAGACGCAGGCAAAAAAACCAACAACGCTCGCTTTGACAGCAGTTCGTAAGGATTATTATTTATTAAACGTTGTTAAATTATTGTAACTGTGTGTTTCTTTCTCTGCCAGCGGGCGCGTTTCTTCGGGGAGAACGAGGGGCTCGACGACTACATGGAGGCCAGGGAGGGAATGCACCTGAAGAACGTGGATTTCCGAGAGCACATCCTGGCCTTCCAGGATCCGGCTCATCAGCCGTGGTTCTCCAGGCACAGAGTGTTCTGGCTGGCCTCGGCCTTCCTGCTGTCCTGGCCGCTGCGGGTGGTGTCCGAGCATCGCACGGCGTACGTCCACTACCACGTGGAGAAACTGTTCGGGGAGGACGAGGACGTCGGCGTGGGAGGAGGAGGAGGGGGACAAGGCGGAGGGAGAGGTGACGGGGTCGACGGAGGGACTGAGAACGGGATCCATCCCGGAGGAATGGGAGTTGGTCTGAACGGGACGAGCTACAGAGCCATCTCTCGCGTCAACACGGTGGACATGACGGAGCTGGAGTGGCACATCCGCTGCAACCAGCAGATGGTCCCGAGCTACTCTGAGGCTCTCCTCATGGACTTGGACATCAGTGGAGGAACAAACCCTACGGCCTCCACGCCCATCTCCGGACCTCAAGGTGTCACCCCCACCCAGGGCTCCCACCCTCCTCCCCTGGCTCTTCCCGTTGTCTTCAACTCAGCGTACCTCCTGCAGAGCTGCCCGCGGTGTCGGCGAACCACGTCGAGCTCCAGTCTCCCCTCGAGGCTGAGGGCCCCGATGGGAACCACAGCCCTCCTGAACGCCACCGTGGCCGGGATCAGAGCGGCCGGGCCGGGCGGCGGCATCGGAGGAAGACTGGTGCTCAGCCGGAGCGGATTCTCTCTGGGGAGACTCGGAGGCGGGCGTCAGAACAGCTTGTTTCACTCAAGGAGCATGGGAGGACTGGGAGGCAGCAGGGAGGACGGAGGGGGGAGTGGAGGAGGAAGCAGCAGCGGAGGAGGAGGAGGCGGAGGAGGAGGAGGATTCCTAGGGTTAGGCTCGAGACAGAACAACGAGGAGACCAGAGGGGTCCTCGAAGGAGAGGACGAGGAGGAGGAGGAGGAGGTGAGGAGGAGGGAAGGCAGGAGAGGAGAGCGGGATGAGGAGGCTGAGCAGGAGAGCGGAGGGGGAGGAGAGGGGAGGGAGGGGGAGAGGGATCGCCCTCCATCCTACCAGGACGCGTTCTTCTTTCCTGTGCTCATCATACACGGGGAGGAGAGCTGCCACGCCGGAGACGACATGTGAGACAGAACGAGTCGGTCAGGGAAGAAAACGGAGCACACGGGAACGGGTCCGAGCTGCGAGGATCGGGTCTGTGGGGGGGGGGGGGGGGGGTGTCTACATGACACGGTGCGCTCTGTCAAGAATCTAAAGCCACAGGTTCAGAGGCAGAGGAGCAGTCACAAAGTAAGACGAGCACATAACAGAGCAGCTGAACACACGAGGGCGACGGATCAGACGGAGAAATGTGCGTTTCCACGCAGGAGGAGTTGGAGTGGGAGAGCTAACGAGTTTAAAGATGGCCGCTCGGAGAGCTGCTGAACCAGCGTGCGTTTGTTGTGCAGCAGACGAAGCCCAACACTGAAGCAAACTCGTCTTAAAAGCATTAATTTAAACGAGATCGGACACGAGCGAAAAACCAAACAAGAAGATTTCTCCCAAGTTTTCAGTTTGCAAACAAAATTCTCCAAAAGCCACAAAACCGAACCGTCAGACAGATCGGTACGACTCGGACAGCACCTGCACGGTCCGCCGCGCGAGGAAGGAAAAGCATCGATTTTTCCTCCTCGTCTCGTCACGCTGTCTTACATCTTCCTCCATTAGCTTCCCGACCACTCCATCCATTACCGTTATGGAGCTGATAGGAAAAAAAACTTCATAAAAAGTGGAGCGATCGCTTCCTCTGTTGGCTCTCTTCTGCACTCCGTCCATTTGATCACATCTCCTGGACTCCATTACCCACGCACCCCTCTGCTCACAGAAAACCTCAAGTCAGTGAGTTGATGTCAATCTGAGAAACGTGCTCTTCTTAAATTTTACTAATTAATCATAATGGAACGGTTTATAATAATAAAAAAAACTTTATTACAATTAATAAACTAATAAAAATTATAACATAATTGAGTTTTTTCAGACCAGGCCTTTGTTTAAACTGTTGTTAAGGTCTGTAGAGTTAAATCAACATATTCGACACTGAAAACTCTGAGGACGACGGAGTTCTGTGTTCCTGGAGGTGCTGTTGTCACATTTCACCTCAGTTTATTCTTTACAGTAGTCCCTCGTTTATCGCGGGGGTTGCGTTCCGGACACCCCCCCAGGCAATATGTGAAACTCCGCAAACTAGCGACGTTATATTTATTTGAGTATTTATAAATATTTTAAGGATTTATAAACCTTTCCCACACTTGCATTGTTCGAAACTCTTAAACCTACGTCATTTTAACAACATACGTATATGTACTGCACAGTACTGCAGTATTTTACCAACTCTGCAGAACACACTACACAGCAGCTCGGTTCCGGTCCGGTTCTGATCGGCTCTCTGCAGCCCTTTAGCACCAAAACACTTTTGGAGGAAGCCGGACCTTCGGATAGCCGGCACAAATGGTCTCGATCGAGCCCAAACCCGGATGAAAAAAGTCCTGGTGAGCTCCGGAGAAACAAAACTTTCACTCCATTTCAGCAGAGGGAGACGGCTGGAAGCACTGCTGGGGCTTCTGGGTAGAGTTGCATTCGGGCCTAAAAAATCCGACCTGGCCCGAACCCGTATCATTTTTTTCGAGCCCGTCCCGAACCCGAACTTTTTTTTTTACTTAAACTTTTACAGCTTTTGTAAGCAAATTAGTTTGGCATGATTTCAAAGAAAGGAAGATATAAGACGTCTTGTTTATTAACAAGAGTCAGCGGATTATTATAGTATTATAATATTATAGTTATTAACGGTTGGCGGACACGTGTGGCTGATTATCCAAATTGGGTCCGTCAGCCGCGCATGCATCCGCTGATGCAATCAAAGCCCGACAACGACCTGACCCGCCCATCCAGCACATTATTTTGGACCGGCCCAGCTTGAATTTCTGGTTCGAGACAAACGCAGGCCCGGGTTAGAAATGACAGCTCTGCTTCTGGGAAATGTAGTCCTTTCGAGTGGCGGTACAGTGTAAGCTATGAGGGAAAACTACAAAATGGCGGCGCATGTCTGAAGTATTTTTTTCGTTAACTTTTCACTGTGTCCTGCATCGTCCCAATCACGAGAGTAATATTAAAGTTGACAGCCGTGCGTCGTGTACTTTCTGTTCTTCTCGTGTTCAATCTCCGTTTGAAAAAACGCGAAAGAGCGAGGGACTACTGTATATCACATCACCTGGAGGTTTAGGTTGTCCCTCCCACCATCTTGTTTAATAAAACCAGACATCTCCCACTGAGAACTCTCTGTGGGGAAAAACAATCTGAAGAAATTGTTGTTTAATAAAGTGATTTAAAGAAGAGCCCGCACATAGAAATAAACGTAAAACGTTTTAAGGCAGCCAACACAAAGTGAGGCGGTAATTTCTACTTGTTATATCAGCAGTGATTGGCCTGTATATTAGAAAAAATCAATAACTCAACCTTTTTTTTTTTTTGTATTTGTATAATTATATCCAAAACATATTTTGGCATGAAAAAACAAACAAACCACTTTTTCCCCTTTTAGGTCCAAAATGTTTAAACCGCATGTGAAGCAACGCCTGAGCTTTCGGGCGTTCTTGTTAAAAAAGTAATTAAAAGCTTTTTGTGTTTAGTGCAGATTAAAAATGTGGAGGAACTTAAAATAACTTGCACTCGATGATCACGATCATTTCCTGCCCTAGAAAAAAAAAAATCTCCGGTCGGGTTGTGCTAAGCTGCTCCCGTCCGGTTCTGAAGACTCGTGGATGCTCGCTGCCGAAATGTAAAACCTGTAGAAGTTTTCAGGAGCGCGCTGCTTGTGACGTGGCTAATTAAAGCTAAATGCTCTGCTGAGTGATCTGTGAAGAGTCCACGTAAAAAAAAAAACAAGACAGGGGCACAGACAGGAATCCTGAGGGACTCGCAGGTTTGTCCTACTTTTTCAATGAGTTTGTTCCTGGAAGTGAAGTCCAGAGAAGACGGGTTTGCGCGTGTTCATGAAACGTGCTGCAGTAATGAGAACGATCAGGAAAACGAGCTTTTCCGAACCGTCCCGACAGATTATTCAGCCGCTTTCTGATGCCTCCCTCCTGCTCCCCGGGCTTTCTTTCTTCATTATCAAAAAGAAGCACATTCAAGAAAAGAAAGTTCGGAAAAAATGGATCACCCGAGGAGTGGACGCGTTGTCCAAACAGCGGAGACGGAGCGGGGACGCTCTGGATAATAAATAAAAAAAAATGGAGCAGAACTTCTGACCTGGTTTGATGTAGAGGACACAAACTTACTCTGACACACATTCACAAGCTCTGAATCTGGTTCACGGATCTTCTGTAGCTTTTTGGGGACGTCGAACCCGATTGGATGAAAGACGAGTGACGGCAGCAAGGACAAGAGTCTCTTGGCGACTAAAGGACTGGACAGCACTGAAAATGTGATATTCAGGACAGTTATTTTTACACAAATTAACGTCAGACTCTTTGACTTGTGGTTAAGATTGTCTTCATGATTGTCCACAAATATAACGAAGCACTCGACACGCCGCTGCATTCGCTTGTTTGCTAACTCGTGTGTGGCTTTGGAGGTTCTGTTCTGCCATGTGGCCTCGTCTACACCGCAACGGATATTTTTTATTTTTTATTTTTATTTTCTCTGTGTATTTTATTTTTGTTCATCCCCGTATTTTCACAAAAATGTTAATACCTATGCCACACCACTAGGCGGCGACATACAAATGCCAAACTCAAAGAGCCGCGGGCCAAATCTGATCCCACAAGATGTTAATTTAAATGTAAACTATTGTATCTTTTAATCTTTAAAAAAAAAAAAAAGATAAATACATCATTTAGCATGGACTTCTCTTACCAGCGGGCTAAGTTTGAATCCAGAAAGAAAGCTGGATCATTCTATCGTTATTGATTCTGATGTAGAAAGACTAAAAACGTCAAATGAGACAGATCAAACTCTTGTTCATGAACCTGCAACCAAGTAAAGACACAAGTATCTGATGAGTTAATGTTTCAGCTGAAAGTGGCTCGGACAACGTTTTTAAATTTTAGCTCCTTTTGGTAAGTTTGGCTTTGCTGAGTGAATAATTGATCTCATTGTGACCAGTATTTATTTTATTTTTTTACACCTGGACCTGGTAACTATGCACTAATTTGTCCTTAATGGGGCTTTTCCAGTCGAGGTTCTTATTTTGACCCATTGGCCACACCCCTCCCGACAAAAAAAAAAAAAAACATCTTTGAGCACCAGAGTGTCTGTTTTTAATGTCGGGAGTTTATTTAGAAAAAAGTTATTGCCAGAGAATGTGCACCTCCATTCAGATTGATGCAGACCAAAAATAATTAATTTTCAAGATTTTGCTGATGAATTAGCAGCAGCACATGTCTCTGTGCCTGAAGCCTTTGTTTCAATAGAACGTTTCTCCACTTCAGCACTCCGAGTAAATAAACTTTGATTCACTGCAAAGCGTCAACAAATGAAAGTGTCAGGTGAGATTAGCGCCCGCTGGGTTGTCGTCAAACAGTTTGCTGTGCTGAAACTGGTTGTCATGTAGGTGGCTGGGAGGTGGGACACGTGCTGTGGTCACATGTTCAAAGTTCAAAGCATCACCAACACAGTTGAAGTGTTTTAGCAGAATATTTGAGTAAAACGTTGTTTTTCTAGCGCGATGGTAGGCAGAGGCGAAATTAGTTTTTCTCACCAAAACAACAAAAGTGAACAGGAAGTGCAAACGTCAGAAAATCTGTTGTGAAAAATATCCCCAGGAGTGCGGACGGGGCCGAACGTCAGTAAACGTAACGCACTCATTTCAGACGAGAACCGGTCTTCGTTGATTTGTTGCGTCTGCGTCGTCTTCATACTCGAGTAGCAAGTTCAGATTGTCAAACACAAATGCCTTTTGTAACATGTAAACGTCTTACCTGGTTTTTTTTATTAATTTATTCTCTTTTTTTTATTTTAATTGTATTTATTTGTGGAGTTTAAACACATTTTGGAATAAGTATAGTGTTTACTTGCTGGTAAGTACTGCTCTGGGTATTTATTTTGTCTTTATGTTGAAGCGGGCGGTGGTGTTGGATATTTACATGCTTCTTTTTGTTACCTGAAGAGGTGCGTCAGTTGTGCCAAGAGAATTCTGTGCCCGTAATGTCTTGC